TTTATCTTTTTGACAAGTTTAAAACATGTATTTAAAATACAATTTATAAAATGCTTAATCTGCCGACTCAGGAGTCCGTGGTGCAGGGTGGGGTGGGAGTGGGTAGCTGCTTGCTACACCAGCAGAGTAAGACTGCAGGGATTCGGCCCTTCCTCCCATGCCCTTCTGTTCAGACACCTAAGGGGCCCGTGTATACCCCTGGGATCACACGGCCAGAGAACAGGACCTCAGAGGTTTCTTGAGTCTCTGCTTACCAGGGAGGCTGGGTACAGCTCTGCCAGCCCATCCCTGAGCAGGGCACCCCCAGATGGGGCACAGTAGGGTATGGCTGGGCTGGGCAGGGCAGGGCTAGGCGGTGTAGGTGGGCTCTGGAAGGGGCTGATGGTAGCAGATAGGGTGTTGCCTCCTGTCTGCAGGTGGGGAGCACCCTGATTGAGTGGGCTGAGAAAGGCTGGTCACCAGGCCTGGACCCCCCAGCTCCTTTGGTTGTAGGCTAACATCAGAGTAGTGGCTCATGGGAAGCGGTTAGCTGGAAGGTCTGAGGCCTGGCCCATGGAGTCAGGAAGGAACTGGGAGACGGGGACAGTACTGTGAAGGGAGATAAAGGGGCAGCAGCCTCAGGTTTCTAACCCCCATCCCCCTGGGGTTTTCCAAGCCAAAGCCTGCAACTCACTTTAAAAAAGAAAAGGAAAAAAAGCACTTAGGAAAGTTATAGATGACTACCCCAAAAAAATACCCTCCCACACACAAAATCTAAACAGTTTCCTCATCTCCCCTCCCGCCTCCCCCAACATAATACAGTTTCCTGTTTTCTTTCTTTTTAAAAACATTGCCTACCACCTCTCCATTTGGGAAGCCCAGGGCATCACTGCTGGTGGGTGGTTGACAGGCACACAGTGGGCTAAGCCCATCTTTGGCCAGAGGGAGGTGGGAGGACCAGTCCCTGCCACATCCTCAATCCACAGCCACCCACTGGCCACTCTTTACTTTGGCCCCTACTAGAGAGTAGTGGGGCAAGAACAGGTGGTCCCAGTGGGTGGTTAACGAGCACTTCTGGCCTTCCCACTTGGACTACCTCTATACCCTTGTCCAATTGAAAGGACAGTCTCACTTTGGGCGGGAAACCATTGTTACATGAGGGATGGACACTATACATTTAGAATGGGGACACTTGGTTAGGGCAGTGGAATATAAAGGTAGCAGCCAACTTCTTCCTTGCCTTCTCCTGAAGGTAATCCTCCCTCTTACTGACTGAAGCTCTGGTTCCAGCTTTGCTCACAGGGAATGGCTGGCTTCACACAGGCAGAAGGCTGTGCCGTGGACTAGCTGCTAACAGCTGGCAACTGGCCCTTCCTCTGGAGGGGAGGACGTGGTGGAGCATGGTTTTCTGGGCCTGGCCTACCATTCCCACAGGGAACCAACGGTGGAGTGAGCCTGTGAGACTCAGCTTGCCACCTTGGCCAACACATGCTGCCCTAATCACAAAACCACACCAACCACTCCGAAACATATCTGCTGGTCAGGAGTGGGGAGGCCGTCTGGCTGGCTGAGGGATAAGGCGTAGTGCAACGGAAGGGATCAGGAAGCCTGAGAAAAGCCGGGTCCACACAGAGCCACTCTGGGCAGCTGCCCTCTTAGCCTCTTCCACCTCAAGGAGCCAAAGTAAACCCCTGGCTCCAGGGACAGAGGGGAAACTGCCTTCATTCCAAGCCCTCACTGGAAAAAGGGGTGATGGGTAGTCTCAGGCTCTGAGAAAACAGTCTGTCATCAATCTTTGCAAAACAAAGCTGTTATATTTCCAACTTTATTCAGAATGTTCTGCCTTCAAGTTACTGATTGCACACATGAAATGTACCAGGTATAGTTACTGAGCTAGGGCCAGCAATGGAGATGGAGCACCACAGACCCTTAAGAGTTCAAGCCATGCTGGAGTGGGAAGACCTATCCACCTTCTGACTGTACGAGGCAGAAGGCTTAGAGTCCTGGAGCCAGACTCTCTCCTGGTTTTCCTTGTGTTGATGGCAAAATACTAAACAAGTCTCCTCTCCTTCACTGCTAAGCCCAGGGATGCAATCTCACTCCCTGGCACTCTGCTCTCCTCTAGAAGTAGTAAGCCTGGCTGGTAGGGAACCACCCTGAGGGGTATGGGAAGGGGAAGTCTGTTCACTTTCCCTATCTCCCAAAATACTAGAGGTGGGGTTGGTACCCTCCCCAGGCTCTCTGAGCCTACAGAGCTAGCCCAGTCTCCAGGCAAGGCCCAGATGCCCTGGGACTTAGCTCAGGGAGGGAGGTATAGGCATGGGGCGCTCATCTGTCCTGGTGGCTGCAGAGCCCTGCCCCTTTTCCGGGCGGCAGTAGGAATAAAGAAGCTAAACTCACCAAAATCCTATTGGTTACTGTTTCTAGTGAATTTCTCAGAAACATTTTTAAGTAGACTACCAAACTGACCTTTCTCAATTAAAAATTCATTAAACCACTAAAACCCCTCCCATGTGCTTTTTCTTGCAAATCAGATATTTGTATAAACAAATAAAAATAGGAAGAAAAAAAAGAAAAGATATTTTCAAATGGAACTTACTTCTTAAGTGATGAAAACATGCACTTGGGGGTAGGTGGGTGTGAGTTCTCATTTGTGTTTTGAAATCCCAAATTAATGACCATGATAAACTGTTGTTGCTGGAACTGGCTTTACCCCAAGTGGTACTGTCTGACTCTCTACTCTGAGTCCTTGGTGGGTCCCCCCAACCTTCCCCTAACTCCCACCCTTTCCCTTTCCATTGCCTTGGGACAGCCCTTGTCGACGTGCCAATCACAGTGGGAAGGGGGAGAGGGGGGAGGTCACAGTGCATGGGGTTCAAGGTCACAGTGGGCGGAGCAAGGGGGATCACAGTGCAAGTAAGTCAGGTCGTTCTTTCTGCTCAAGTCCAGCTGTCTGCCGCAGCAGTGCAACCCGTGGCAGACGACCCAGGAGGCAGCGACGGTGGCATCTTTTCTTGCCTGCATTTATCTGCGCTGTGAAGCCTTGTGACCCATCAGGACCCAAAGGCTGTCTGATCACATTTTTGGGCTGCCTGCCTGCTGTCTTCGGGTTGGGAAATCCTGGTTGGCCTGTCGAGGATGGGTTTCTCCTGCCCCTCCTCTGGGCTGGCGCTGCCCAGGGTCTGCTTCCGGGCCTCGGTGTACTCAGCCTCCCGCTGTGCTAGGGCCTTGACCAGAAGGGTGGGCCTGCTAGTGGAGTTGGGGCTGTTGACCACACTGTTGCTGGTAGGCCTTTTGAGGATACGGATCTGTGTCCTGAATCACAATGGGCACTTTGGGAGGAGATTTGGATTTCCTGCCCGTTGTCTGCTGCCTCTTCCCAGCTCTCAGCGACCTCCTCCTCATCTTCCATTTTACTCGCCGTTATCCCTCCTCCCCGCCTTTTTTTTCTTGTGTTGGAGTCTTGCTCAGCCCAGGCTGAAGTGCAATGGCGCGATCTCGGCTCGCTGCAACCTCCGCCTCGCTGCAACCTCCGCCTCGCGGGTCCCAGTTCAAGCAATTCTCCTATCTCAGCCTCCCAAGTAGCTGGAATTACAGGCACGAGCCACCACGCTCAGCTAATTTTTTTATTTTTTAGTAGATGGGGTTTCACCATGTTAGCCAGTCTGGTCTTGAAGAACATCCTGACCTCGTGATCCGCCCACCTCAGCCTCCCAAAGTGCTGAGATTAAAGGTGTGAGCCACCACGCCCTATTTTTATTTTTTTAGTGGTTGCTGTAAAGCTTATGATATACATCTTTAACTTATCACAGTGTACCTTTATGTTATTTTTTGAGATGGAGTCTCAAAAAGTGATGTATCTCGGCCGGGCGTGGTGGCTCATGCCTGTAATCCAGGCACTTTGGAGGCCAAGGCGGGCGGATCACCTGAGGTCGGGAGTTCAAGACCAGCCTGACCAACATGGTGAAACCCCGTCCTGAAAAAAAAAAAAAAAAAAAAGATATATCTCAATTTTTTCAGATGGAGTCTCAAAAAATTATACCCTAAAAAGATTATACCACTGCACTCCAGACCTTTTGCCAGGTCTGGAGTGCAGTGATATAATCTTGGCTCACTACAACCTCCCCCTCCCATGTTCACGAGATTCTCCTGCCTCAGTCTCCCCAGTAGTTGGGATTACAGGCATGCGCCACCACGGCCAGCTAATTTTTCTATTTTTAGAGAGACAGAGTTTCACCGTGTTGGCCAGGCTGGTCTCGAACTTCTGACCTCAAGTGATCTGCCTGTCTCGGCCTCCCAAAGTGCTGGGATTTCAGGCATGTGCCACTGCACCTGGCCACAGTGTGCCTTCAAAATAATGCTATATTATTTCACATTACATGTAAAAACCTTATAATAGTATGTTTCCATTGCCCTATTCTTTCATTGGTACTATTGTGTCATACATTTTTCTTCTGGGGTTGTTTTAATTTCACTGTACATTGTTGTTATTTTTTGCTTCAAAGAGTCAATTATCTTTTTCCTCATTTTTAAATTTGTGAAAAAATAATTTCTATTTACCCATGTATTTATTTCCAGTGCTCTTTATTATTTATAGATACAGGTGATATAAGAACTTTTTTTTTTTTTTTTTTTGAGATGGAGTCTTGCTCTGTCACCCAGCCTGGAGTGCAGGGATACAGTTCAGCTCACTGCAACCTTCACCTCCTAGCTTCAAGCAATTCTTCTGCCCCAGCCTCCCACGTAGCTAGGATTACAGTGTGCACCACTATGCCTGGCTAATTTTTGTATTTAGTGACGGGTTTTCGCCTTGTTGACCAGGCTGATCTTGAACTCCTGACTTCGTGATCCACCACCCCCCCACCACCTTGGCATCCCAGAATGCTGGGATTATAGGTGTGAGCCACTGCATCCAGCCAAGAACAGCTTTTAATATCTTTTGTAGTGCAGGACTTTTGGCAACACATTATCTCAGATTGTTTGAAAAGGTCTTTATTTTAGTCTCATTTCTGAATGATGTTTTTTGCTGGACATAGGATTCTGAGTTAACTCTTTTTCTTTTCCTGTCAGAACAAATATTATTATTACATTGTCTTCTGGCTTACATACTTTCTGGCAAGAAATATGAATTCTTATCTTCGTTCCTATGTATATAATGTATCTTTTTTTTCTCTAGCTGCTTTTACTATTCTTCCTTTAACACTATTTTTATTATGATGTGCCTTATATCTACCATTTTTCTCTTTATTATGTTAATGTGTCTTTAAAATAATAGATCCTTAAATGTCATTGTTGCTAACTTCATCATTCCCTCATTTCTGGGTCTGTTTCTATTGACTGCTGTTTCTCTTGGTTATAGGTCACATTTTTCTGCTTCAAGTCTGGTGATTTTTATTGAAGTTGGGTGCTAGATTTTGTTGCCATTCTTTAAATTGTGTTGGACTTTATTCAGGAAGGCAGGTAAAATATTTATGGAGCAGTACAATCCTTCTGACGCATTTTTGAAAGCTTCATTTGGGTAAGTTTAAAGTAGACTTTAGGGCTAGTTTAGTGCCACTGCTAATGCGTAACTATTCTGGCATCATGTTTGAATGCCCTAGGTATTCAACAAGTACTCTTCATTCTGGTTAGTCAAAATTCAAACATCTCCCAGTCCTGTGTGAACTCTTGAGAATTGTTCAGCTTACAAATTCTTAGTTTTTTTGTTTTTGTTTTTTTTTTTTTTTTTTTTGTCTGCCCTAGTTGAGTCATACCCAACATATGCAATCCATATTATTAATATTTAGGAACAAATTCAGTGGAAACACTGTGCAAATTTCTGAAGCTCTTTCTCTGCCTATCTCCCTCCTCTTTGATAATCTGCCTCCCCAAACTCTGATACGTCTCCTTAGCTCAGCAGAACCTTGAAGTTCCCCTTGTTTTCCTTCTCTTAGGATTCCTATCCTGTACTGCCTGTTATTCAGTATCTGACAAGAATTGTTTCCCAGTTCTCACTCTATCATGACTGCAAGTGGAAATTCTGAACTACTTTAAAATACTGCATACTCAATAAACAAACAAAATACTATATACTCTGACTCAACTGAATTTTTTGAATTTCACATATTTTTCAGAGAATCTTCCCTTACATTAACTATATATATATATATATATATATATATATATATATATATATATAAAATCTCCTGCTTCATTCTCTTTCTTTCCTGCTCTTTTCTCAGTTACTACAGAAGGAAGTCTCAAGTGGATACTGGAAATGGTATATATAGTGAACATTTTTATGTCCTTTTTAAGATAATTTACTAAAACATTTCTGATATTCTCTTTCCCCATTTTTTCCCCTCTATTCTGGGGTCCAAGTTCTAGCCTTAACCAACATTGATCATTTACAAGTCTCTCAAAACAGTAAGGGGCGTTTGAACCTGAAGCTTTTGGGTCTCTAATATTTTATCCTTATAACTGTCTGCTTGGTCGCTATGCCTCTTTGAGACCCTCCATCTGGCTATGGACCAAAAGGGTAAGCAGATAGCGTGTAAAGGAATTGACCGGTCTCCTCTGGGTACTAGTTAGCATTTCGGCTCATGAATCGAATTGTTTTCCCTGTTGTTGGAGATACAACTCTTTTGGTTGCTATATGCAAACAAGTGCTAAAAATGGCTCAGCAGCTCCTTGAACCTGGCTGCTCAAAGATCACCATGTTTGTCTGCTTAGATTGTTTTGGACAGTTATCTCTGTTTTTTTTGGACAGTTAATCTAATAAGTACACTGCATAGCTGAGCTGAATTTATGCAGTTGGAATCCATCACTACATTGAACACACCTCTGAAGGACATTTCAGAATGGATCAAACCTAATTTCTGAGAAACCATAGCTGTAGCTTGTATATTTTGAGAGTAAAGTGACATCCTTTCCCATTCTTTTCATCTTTTGCTCATCCTTTGTACAGGATTTATTTTTTTCAGTGTCAGGGCTGAGTCTTGAAGAATCTGGCTTTCAGGTGATTGCCCTGATGGAGTCTAAGCTGTCGATGCCAGTCACAGATTTGTCCAAGCTAATGGTTGGTCCCTTCTGTAGCTGCTGTCGCAGGGGCCCTGATACCCTAGTGGAGAATTTTGCACTCAGAATTACCTACCACAGTAACGAAAAGAGGAAGAGGTGGTAAACAAAAGGGAAGAAACCTTGGGTTCCTTATTTTCCCAGTCTTAGAAGGTGTGACACTATCTCATCTCAATCCAGCTGCCCATTCACTGGTCAGTTAAGCACCTGACTCCAAACCATACTTAGTGCTACTGGCTCAACCCTCTATGTCCTCACATCTGTGGGGGTGGTTATTGATGGTGGTTTATCTTGATTCCTCAATTTGCATGTTAGCTCCATAAAGGCAAGACTTGGCTCAGGGCTTTCGAAGCCTGTCAGAGTACTGAAAACAATACTGAAGGTACATCAGGGTCTAACTCTAATCTTACCATGTGACCTTGATGAGAGATTCCTTTCTTTTTTGGTTGGGCTTGTGTTACTAAATTAGTCTACAAACATGTTGACTGTTTGTTGTTTCTTAGGACTCTGTTAGGTATTATGAATCATAATGTCACACCGAGTCTACTTCAGAGTGCTAAGCGTCTAGCTATGACAGATTTCAGTGAGGAAATCAGTAGTAATGGCATGTTGTTTCTCTAGGAGAGGGCCTGCCACTCTGCCTGCCTCCACCTGCTACTGCGCCAACCCTAAAGCAGTATATTCTTTCCTCCACAGGAAATCCCTCACTGGGAAACCTATAGAGTGCAATTATCTTCCAGAAAGGGTGGGGACGGATGAGAGGAATTTTTTTTATTTATGGAAGGGGTTGAAAGGGAAGCTATGGAAATAGGTCACTTCTCCCAATTTCAGGCTCTATAAAATAGTTATTCATAGGGTCATATCAAGGCAAAAGAAAATAATAGTAACAGCTACAGTTTTTAAGTGCTTTCTGTGTGCCAAGCACAGAAAGCTTTCAATACATTGTCTTATTTAGTCCTCAGAACCAGCTGTATATGACGAAGTTATTAGTATTCCCACTGTAAAGATGAAGAAATAGGCATACCCAGCTCCACCCTGCTGCTAACTGGTGAAGATAGGCTATGAGTCCAGGCAGGCTGACTCTAGAGCTATGCTCTTAACCACTATGCTGTCGTGATTATCACTGGCTACTAATTGGAACTTTTCATCACCCAGGTGCAACTAGACCCAACAGGGATCTGCCAAGATCTTTACTGTACTTAGAGAACATCTTCATAGTGCTGTGCATCTTGTTTTGCTTTAACTAATCTTGAATTTGGAAAAGTATGGATTTTAGGGAAAGAAGAATTGGCTTTTGCTTCTTCCTTATCAGAATCCCTCTTCTAAGCTGTCCAGCATCTGACTACCACTTAACAT